AAGGGGAGAGAAGATGCTTCAGAACCAGGTCTATTATTGCAAGGCCGTCATCTGTCTCTTTCAGCCATCAGTACCTGACAGCAGACAGGCAAGAGGCTGTGGGAGGCTGAGGGTGGGGTGGACGGTGGCTCTTCCTGTGCTCCAGGTCAGCCCAGAATCCCGATGACTTTATCTTTCCTAAACACCCACTGAGCACTGTGGAGGTTGGACCACAGCCCTTACCTTCCAGGAACTTTCAGATGAATAAAATGAGGTCCTAAGTCAGAAGCAGGGCTGAGTCAGCATTGTGTACCGTTTAGAAAGAGTTGGTAGTGTAAGCTAGCAGCCAGCTGAGCTCCGAGCCGATGGGCCTTACAAGGAGCCGTCTGGAGCACGTCTGTTATGACCTTCACTTAGTAGATGAGGAATTGAGGCACCTTTTGGCTGCAACAGCCATCTTCCAGTAACTCACCAAAATGACAAACACAAAGCGAAAGAGGAGGGCACTTGGTATATGGTCTCTGGGTCCTTTAGGAAACATGGAGTTGTTCCTTTGGCCACATACATGTGAATCTACAAGAAGGGTGATATTGCAGACATGAAGGGAATGGGTACTGTTCAAAAAGGAACGCCCCATAAGTGTTACCACGGCAAAACCGGAAGAGTCTACAATGTCACCCAGCATGGCGTGGGCATCATTGTAGACACGCAAGTTAAGGGCAAGATTCTGGCCAAGAGGATCAATGTGCGGATTGAGCACATTAAACACTCGAAGAGCAGAGACAGCTTCCTGAAGCGGGTGAAGGAGAACGATCAGAAGAAAAAGGAAGCCAAAGAGAAGGGCTCCTGGGTTCAGCTGAAGCGCCACCCTGCGCCACCCAGAGAACACACTTTATGAGGACTAATGGGGAAGGGCCTGAGTTGCTGGAGCCCATTCTATACGAATTGATGTGCAAAAGGAAAGAAAGAAAGAAAGAAAGAAAGAAAGAAAGAAAGAAAGAAAGAAAGAAAGAAAGGAATGAATGGAATAAAGGATCCAGACTGAAAAAAAAAAAGAATTGAGGCACAGGAGGTGAAGCCATCTGTGCAAGTCACGGAACTGGAATTTAGGCCCAGGAAGGATGAGCCCGGAGGCCGTCTATCTATCTATGTATCTATGTACATATGTATCTATCTGTTTGTTTGTTTAGAGCCGGGGTCATAGTATGTAGCCCTTACTGGCATAGTCCAGAGTGGCCTGAAACTCAGAAATCCACCTGCCTCTACCTCTCGAGTGCTGTTATTACAGACCTGTGCCACTGTGCCCAGCTTTATGGAGCTGCTTCGAGGGATGGAGCCTCAGGCCTTGCCTGTGCTAGGCAGGTGCTCTCCCACTAAACCCAGCACAGAATTTGCAAATGAAATAAACCGGGCAAGGCTTACCTGTCCAGGCTTTCCTGAAGGGGGATTTCCCTAGTTAGTACCACCCACCCATAACATTTCCATGTCAGAGTAGCATGGTCTGGGCTCAGGACACTACTGGCAGAGCCTAGCCTAGTTATCATGTAGAGGTCCCCACCTAAGAGCTTCCATGTGTGATAGAATGAATGGTCCACCATCCAATGTGTAACATCATGGCACAAAACAGGACCAGAGGGTGGCCAGGTCCTGTCTCAGATCACCTAGAACTCTGGGTTTCCAGCCTTTGTCCACTTTGTATAACATGCATTGTTCCCTTCTCTCTCTGTCTCTCTCTGTCTCTCTCTCTCTCTCTCTCTCTCTCTCTCTCTCTCTCTCTCTCTCT